TTTTTTCTTTTATTTTATTATATATATATATATATATATATATATATATATATATATATTATTTATATTTTTTATACATAGAATGGAGCAATCGTGAAATTTGGTAGACTGCATACTTTTAAGTTCATCGATCCAACACCTGATGAACGTATTAGACAACGACATGATTCTGGAAAACAAATTGAATACAATTATGATCGGTAAGCATGTTATTTTATATTTATTAATATATATACATGTAAATGGGATAAAATTTACGAGTAGATAATGATAAGTAGATAAGATGACTAGTTTATTAGCAAGTAAATTAATGATATCTTTTAAAGCGTGGGGGAAAAATAAGAAATGAAAATAGAAATCAAGTAACAATTGATTGATGTTGAATCATAACAAATCATAACAATATCACCAAAATAATTTTTTGTATGAAACAATATTGTATATATTTTTCGAACACGCTTTTCACAATGTTTGCACGACAATTTCTCTTTCTTTCCTTCTTTCTTTCCTTCTTCCTTTCTCTTTCCTTTTCCGTTTCTCTCCATTCTTGTTCATGAAGGAAAAAGTTTAGCTCTTTTTTCTGCACTCCATTTGTAGTTTCCTAGTTTGCTTCTTTTTTCCTGCACGCAGCCTGCTTTTGTACCGTAGACGCTCCCCAGACTTGGCCAATCAAGAAACGAACATGGAAAGATACGGATCAGTATCTGGAACTTCAAATAATGGACAAAATCAAATTCAAATTCAGAGCCAATCAATTCAGGATCAAGTTATTCATTCATCTAGTCCAAACAAATCTACACCCATTCCTGTTGCTGCTGTTACTACTGTTTGTCATACTCGAAGTCCAACGCATGCATTGGAATCAACACATAATTATGAAACTACATTTGATCTCGATGGAAACGTTGAGACTGCCAGTCTTACCAGTAGCAGAGATGGTAACAGGTAACAATAGCTTTTATTTTTCATTGAAAGAATTTAGTTTGAAAAATGTCTATTGTTAAGAATGAATTTTTCAGTCAAAGATGGGATTCTTCAGGGTAAGTTAACACAAATATTGAAACAGACATAATGAGATAAAACACAAAATATGTAATACAAAATATAAAAAATATAAGATGTGAATATGTTTTTTAAAAATAACTTTTGCTATAAATATACGAATTTATTGAGGAAACGAAACCAAAACGAATTTGATTATGAATTGTGAATAACATTGAATATTTCTATTTTGATAGAACATTACAGAATGATCGACAACCACGAGGAACGGACCCAATCTTACCAGCTGTATTAGAATTTCTTGAAGAAACGGAAGAAACATTTTTTCATGCAGTAATTACAGATGTTGAACCATCAGCACCTCAATTTAAATTGGCTCCAACATATACGCTTTACCTGGCAGCAAGATATCGTGCAAGCACACATTATAGGCCAGAATTACAACCAACAGAGAGAGCTCATAGATTGACTGTGATGTTGGCAAACGTCGCTAACATGATTCAACGAGTAATACAGGTAATTTAAAATAATATAAGAAAAAAATAAATAGTCGATGATTTTTTATATTAAAAACATTTTATATTAAAAATTGACAACATTGTTTATATAATGATTAAATATTTAAATTAGACAAGTAAATAAATTCAAAATTTTAATGTTCGTTACTGAGTTATAATTTTTATTAAATTAATTAATTTTATTTTGTTATTTTTAGTTCAAAGTAAAATTTTATATTATAATTTTATATTATTTTATTCATCTATTATTATATTTCACATAGGAACGCTATATGGATGCGTCTTCATTGGCATTGTGGTTAGCAAATGGTTCAGAATTATTACATATGTTGAAAAACGATCGTCATGTAGGAGCATTTTCGACAAGGGCACAGGATATTTTGACAGAAGCAGTTCATACAGCTTTTGCATCGCTAGTTCGTTGCATTTCCTTAGAACTAGCGCCGGCAATGTCACAATTTATGGCTGATGCAGATGAACCTGCCAAAGAAGCTAGTGTTCTCCAAATATTTTCGAGTACGATGGCATTACTCAGACGATGTAGAGTAAATGCTGCGCTCACGATTCAACTTTTTAGTCACTTATTTCATACAATAAATGCAACTACATTTAATGCATTGGTTTCAAACGCAAACTTATGTGTTAGATGGTTCGGTCGTAGATTAAAGGCAAGATTGAACGCTCTTGAAACTTGGGCTGAGAGGCAAGGTTTAGAACTTGCGAGTCAATGTCACTTAGCAACAATTATGCAAGCGACTCATCTTTTACAAGCACCAAAATATAATGCAGAGGAACTTGCTACTTTAAGTTCCACTTGTTTCAAGTTGAATTCTCTTCAAGTTCGAGCATTGTTACAAAAATATCAACCAGCTGCTGATGAGCCAAGACTTCCGGCAGAATTGATCGAAAATGTAGTCAGAGTAAGTTGATACTTGTGATTAAATAGAATAAATAAGTATCGCGTAAAAGAAAATATAATAAAAAAAAAAAAGTGAAAAGAGATTAGAATTTTTACATTAAATTCTAGGTAGCAGAAAGTGTGGCTGATACTTTAGCACGTGCTGATGGTAGAGAGATTCGACTTGAAGAAGAACCTACACTCGCATTGGCACTTTTACTTCCCGAAGATGGATACAGTTGCGAAGTTATTCGCGGTGTGCCTCCAGGATTAGCAGAATTTTTAGCGCCATTACAACGAGATGGTCTTTGTCGTATGGCATCACAACCCACTAGTAGTGGATACTGGACTATATATATGATAGATCATCATAATAATGTAAAATTTTTTTTTCTTTCATAGTTAAAAGTATTTTAAATGATATTAACTTTTAAATGATTAAAATAATTGATTTTAATAGTTTCGCAGTCCAAGTGCAATGAGTAATAGATCTGGAGGATACTCTTGTCATACAGGTTCGAATATTGTTCAGCCTGAAATACATATAATAAAATTACATAAATCTACCAATGGAATGGGTTTAAGTATCGTTGCGGCAAAGGTATGTGCGTGTATATATATATTATATATATGTATTATATTTGTATACGTATGTTTAAATATATATTTCGATGTTACAAAATCTATTAATATATGCTTGCAATAAAGTTTGATTCTTGTATAGATTCATTGATAGAAAATATTCTATAAATTCTAAATATTTTCGATATTTTTCAGGGTGCTGGTCAAGATAGACTTGGAATATATATAAAGAGCGTAGTTGCTGGTGGTGCTGCTGATGCTGTGAGTAAATATTATTTACTTTCTATGATGTATGTATTATTTATTAAAATATCTTTTTCTATAGGGTAATTTAGACCACTTCATTTTTATTATTATTATTATTCATTGTGAACAAAATTTTACAAGAAAAAAATAAATGATTGATAGAATTAAATGGTTTCAGGAAAGAAACATTTTGATATTATTAATTTTTTTAAATAATTTTCGCATATTACACATTTACATTTTACACATTTACATATAAAAAAATTATAATATATAATACTTTTCTGAAACTATTCAATTCTATCTGAAAAATTTTTGCTATCAATAATAACAAAAATTAAAAAAATAAATTAACTAAGATATTTCGTGAATCATCTTATAGATATATTTTATTTCTTCATTTTTATTATTAATTTTCATATATTTTATATGATATTTTATATGTGCACTTTAATTAATATTGAATTTTTTGCAATATTAAAATATACATGTATGAACTGTAGGATGGTAGATTGACTGCTGGTGATCAATTGCTAAAAGTGGATGGGCAAAGTTTAGTAGGAATTACTCAAGAAAAGTAAGTGATACAAAAAAAATTAAAAATTGTAAAACTATTGCGAATGTAGTTTTTTTCATATTTAAGTTTAACATATTAACATAGATTTTGTTTTTTATAGGGCTGCTGAATATTTAGTACGTACTGGTCCAATAGTCACACTTGAAGTTGCTAAACAGGGTGCTATATACCATGGTTTAGCTACTTTATTGTCGCAACCATCACCAGTAATGAACAGAGGTATGTATCTTTTGTTTTTTATAGAATATTTAAACTTTCACATTTTAATATTACAAATGTGATTCAATTACGTTATTTCACCGTTTGATAATTTGTTTCGCTTTATTGACGAAACGAGAGATCTGTGGTGAAAGAACTGTATATACGTGAGAGTGAGACAACGAATTTAAGAAAACGGCGTAATTAGGAGAAAAAAATCTGAAATAATCAATCTGAATTTAAAGAAGTCTAATTCACTTTCGCGATGCTTTCAATCTGCTAACTACGGAATGTTTGCTTGATAACGCTTTTACATATTATTTTCGCTCGCATTATTCATCGTTGCACGCCATTTTATTTTTCGTATTCTGGCTCTCGCGAAACAACGAGATATGAATGCTTAATTAATGCTTTACTAACTAATTGTTCCTGATCAGCATACAAGATTCGACCCAAGTCCGAAAACTTGGAAGCTTCAACGGCGCAAGAAATAAACGAGCAATCATCTACATCACATTCAATGGGTAATTTGTTGAATGTTCCAAGACACGCGATTGATTTGGAACGTTCAATCGATTCAATATCAGGTGCGATTCTTTTTTCGATTTATTTTAAAGCCGTGATTTTAATTCTTAAAATTTCTCTAATCTCGTTTCGAATTGGTATTGCAATCTTTGCAAAATATCCAAAAACTTTACAAATTAAAAAATTAAGAAACTGTCATTCATTATTAAAAAATACGTAGTTTTATAAATTTAATATTAACAAATCGATAAAACATTTGGAGAAAAAGCAAGAAAAAGATATAATAATTTATAATTTTAAAATAAGTGGTGTATGGTGGCTGACAATAATGGTGATGGCAGTAACGCAAATTTATTTTTATCTTTCGATTGTGATTTCGGATATTTACAAACACACAATTTTGATATTTTAAGAGATAATGCATGCACTTTAACCAAACAAAAGAATTAATGCGAAAAAAGAAATTTGCTACCTGTTTTGGAAGTTTGTCAATTCGTTTCATTCATCCAATCGATAAATATAAATATTATTCAAACATCGATTATTTTAGACTCAAACTCGGATTCTTCGGCTACAGTAAACATCAAATGTAATAGTTTTTCTCTCGATTCAATACCCTATATCGATCAAGTCGATGAAATATCATCAGTTCCATTTTCAAGCAATCAATTCGATAAATACCAATTGGAAAATAATAACGTAAGTATATATAATCGCATGGTTGAACATCATAGTTGATATTTCATAAGATTATCTCGTAATATTAAACTCACTACGAGGTATGCAGCGCGTTGTGATCAAACGCTATAATTCACAATTAATCAATGAAGAAGGACAAATTACAAATAGACACGAACGAGGAGAAGCATCTTCATATAAACAAGAAAAATATATAAGAACAAATAAACAGGCAAACAAATATAATATGGTGAAACAACAGGAAAGAAATAATGAAACAAGAGAAAAAAAAATAAAAGATATCTTGTTATCGCCGTATGTTATATTAAATAACAATGACGATCTCGAAATATTTACAATTCCAAAAGCAAAGGCTGATATATTTAATATTATTCCAGTATTGAATCTTGATTTGTCTGGTCTAGATAATAATACAACATGTGATGTCTCGAATTTTAATAAATGTTGGAAATCACCAGAAGAGGTACGCCTTAGTTGCAGCGGTCGCGTAGCAATCTTAGCTAAATATTTTTTGAAACTTGGTGACATTGAATCGATCGATCATCGATTTAATTCGATGAAATTAGACAATTTAAAGAAATTTTCTTCAGAACCTAATTTTGCTTCGATTAAGAAGTATCAAACTCAATCAAATTATTTTTCTGTTATTGATGATAATAGTAAATTTCGATCCGAATTAGATTTAAGAAATAATAAAATTAATCAGCAATACGGTTTACGAGATGAATTAAATAAAATATTCAAAAATTCAATAATAAATTTGTTAAATAAGAATGATAGTAATAGTAATAATTATTACGATAATTCATATATGTATAATGAAATATCTATAAATGATAAACGGAAGTTATCATTATCGGAACAAAAACATATGATAGATCAGTTGAAAGAAATATGTAATCTCGATTATATGAAAGCATCATCTCTTCCTCAATGTTCTTCTTTACATTTTTCATATACATCAAATAAGAATATGAACATTATATCTTCAAACAATATAATTCTTGATAAAGATATGAATAAGGATATGAATGAAATGTTATCTTCGTGTGATATAAATGAAAAGTTAATATCAGAAAATATTCAAAAGTGTGATTCATCATATGTAATAAATATTACAAAAAATTATATTCAAAAAAAGAACATAAAACAACAATTGTTATCTAATGCTAAATTTAAATTCAAGCAATTATCAAGTTCTTATCCAAATATCGAAAGAATAGAAGAATTATGATATAATGAAAATAATCAATTAAAAGAGAAAAATAAAAAATATCTGTGGTTTAATTTAAAAAAATGTGATTCGATTCATGAATTAAAACAAATCAATGATCATATATTATCATTTCCTACTAATAAACAGTACTTTCAATCTTGGAATAAGAATTTTTTGCAAAATGATAATAATATAAATTATGAAGAAATACTTTGCAAACAAAATTTCATCGTTCAAGATAAATTTCAACAAAATTCAATGTCATTTATTAAAGAAAATAATCATTCTAATATTTTACTAATTCAAATTAAAGAAAATCGAAAAAGCAGCATGATCAATGATCAGCAAATTCCAATTTTGATTGAAAAAAAAATTCATACTAATAATACGACCAACTTAATGCTCCACCAGGATTGGAAAATTTATCCAAGATTAAATCGAACTCATCTAAATCTTGATTTCTTTTTACGTAAGCAATCGACACTACATTTTTTGAATGCGTGCCTGTTAATGTTAAAAATATTGGATGTTATGCAAATTAGAAGTTATATATACATATATTTATTAATGATCGATCAACATCGCGCATGAAAGCAATTTTTCGAATAATTTTTTTAACTTATCGATCAATTGAGACATCAATTTCAATGATGAAATATATTTTTAAGCATATCATTTTGAATAACTTTTTCTTACATGTAACCAGCAATTGGTTTTAATTTTAAAATAAAACCTTAAGATAGACTAGAAATTAAGAATAATTTCATTTTTTTATTTTTCATAGTTTATTTAAATAATATGCAAGAATATATATCATACAGATATATATATATATATTGACACTTATATTATCTTGAATATAAATATATAGATATTCAATATAATAATATACAGAATGTTCAGGTCTCAGCTAAATGATTAGCATTAGAAGAAAAAAAAAAAAAAATGTTTTACTGGTTTTTATAATTCATTGATATATATTATTCAAAATATTTTTTTCACTTTTAATTTTTTATGATGATTATTATATATGAAAATTATATATAAATATAAAATTATTATATATAAAAAAAAATATTATATATGATAGAAATAAAATTCTTCTTAATACTCATATGGCATAAAAAAATAAAGACTATTCCATCTAGAAAATTAAAAATGATCTTTATTTCTTAGAAAATATTGTAAAATTTATAATATATAATAAATTTATAATAATATAGGCCACTATATTGATTATAAAAAAGTAGCAAAAAACAAATTTTTCCTCTTTCTTTTTTTTAAAATTTACGATTAAAAAAAAACTTGGATTGATTAAATGTCTTATATAATATCGAAAAATTTTTGTTAATATTTCAAAAAATAAAGTGAATTGTCAGTTTTATATATATATATATATTAAATATTAAAAAATATATATATATTAAATATTAAATATATATATATATTAAATATTAAAAAATATATATATATTAAATATTAAATATTAAAAAAATAAATATATATATTAGAATACATAAGAAATTATTTTTATATATATAAGAAAAAGTTGCTCAAAAATTAATTTTTTTTAACAACATATTTTAAGTCATTGAAATCAGTAAATAATCAATTCATCGATAAATTTTACTTTTTTCTTTATAACTTTAATTTTTATTATAATTTTTAGATATATTTTACATTTTTTTTAATTCACAATTTATTTATGCTTAAATATACAAGAATATTAACAATAATTTTATGAATCAATTTGATAATTATTTTATTATTTTTTTATCTATTCCAGTTTACTTTTATTTATATTTCATTTTTACAATTTTGCTTGACTATATACGTATAAATAATATAAACACATGATGCATGTTTAAATAACAATATTTAATACAAAATATTATTTATTCATTATTACACTATTTACATTTACTTATTTACACATTTTTTTTACTGTCAAATGTGTATGTTAATATATGTCTAATTTCGTAGAAATATATATATTAATAGTAATGTGTTAATAATAAAGTCATTGGATATCCATTTTAAGAGTAAAACATTTACTATGTTTTATTAGTAATGGGATTTAACCGATCTCGTATACAGAATAGAGATTCAAAATAATTCTAAATGATTTTAATTCAATTAATTGTCAGTCACAAGATAAATTATAGTTACAATGAATGCGTTTTCATATAAATTACGCTCTCATAAATATGATTAAAATTGATCATCAAGAGAATATAATAAAAGATGATTTTATTTTTTTTATATAGAGATAGTCTTTGTAATGGATATTTTCATAATAATAATAAATAGTTGTAAAAATATTATAACAGATATATAAAAATTAAATATCGTAATTATATCTCTAGATCGTAATTTTATATTTCTAGATCAATAAAGATATATAAAAAATTTTTGTCACAAAAGTGACATAGATTTTCAAGATCAAAGTTTTTTTTTATTGCATTATATTGTTGCAAAAAACAAAAGACTTAAAGAAACCATAAATTGCAAATAAACCGTTCTTTTTAAAAATGTATCTAATTTTAAAAATTATTTTATTTAATATTTTTATATTTTTATTGAAATATTACAATGTAGATGATATGCAATTGATAAGCCAAGATATTAGATATTAGATATTACATATTATTTTACAAAATATATCGAAATTTAGCGATGAAAATTATATTTAGAAGAAATATCAATGCAACAATATTGATGCGACTTCCATTATGTGCTAAATCAATAATTTATTGATCAGAAATTAATATTATGTCATCTTAACGCTCATTAGAGATCAGATTAACTTCATAGTGAAAGAAGAACATTATTCTCGTCACTAATAGCTTAATGACAAGAGTAAATCAAAGGAAAAAAATTGTACACATAATATTCAATTAAATGATTTCACAACTTGATTTCTGCCGATAAATTACATAAGAATGCAATGCAAATTATGTTTTTTGAAATATATATTATTTTCAGAATAAAGAAAATAATAAAATTTGGCACGTTTTATTTTTAATATTTGAGCATCATTGAGGTTTATAATATCTAACTGATTTACTTAACTGAATTTCGATAACTTATTCAATGATATAGATGATATTACGATATTCCAATTAACTTGTTTGCCAATCTTTAAAACATACATTAAATTACGATGAATCAAAAGATTTGCTAAAACGAAATAATCCAAATTCTATTATTCTCTTTATTTTGAGAATAACTTATGCAATCCATCGGCAGAAATTTTATCAAGTTGTGAGATTTAATTGAAAATTAACGTGTATGATTTTTTCTTTATTTCTATTCATTGAATTATTATCAACAAGAATAATATTTTATTGCAATCTCTGATAAATGTTAAACTGACATAATATTAATTTCTGATTAATAAATTAATTGATTTAACTAATCTTGCATCGATATTGATATTCTTCTGGATATAATTATTTTCCTCATATATTTCGTAAGCGAATTTTCATATATTTCGTAAGGTAATGTGTTATATTTAGTTAACTCATTAATTGCATATTATTTCAATAATTGCAATATTTCAATAAAAATATAGAAATATTTTAGAAATATTTTTAGAATAAAATAATTTATAAAACTTTAGATTTCTTTTTCAAAAGAACGATTCATTTGTGATTATATAGTTTCTTGAGACTTTTGTTCTTCCCTATTATACGAATACTATATGATATAATAAAAAAAAACTTCGATCTTGAAAATCTATGTCAATGTCATTTTTGCGACAAAAATTTTTTATATGTCTCTACTGATCTAGAAATTATAATAGCCACGATTATTTTTTTTATATCTTGTATATTTTAAATAATATAATAATAATACATATTTTTTTTAATTATTTAATATATTGAAATATATTATTTGGATTTAGTCGTGGTCGATCGACAACCAATATAGCCAATTGTCGCGATTCAACTAGGAATCCATGATTGGCTTGTTTTTTTATTAATAACTTATTAACAAAGCCGTGATAAAAGTTTATGCAAAGGAAAATATTGAAATTATCTCAAGAATTTTCAATTTATATGTTGATATTCTAATATTTTTGAGAAACAATATTTATATATAGAAATGAAAGAAGTATTAATAGAAATAGCAATAGAAACTGTTAAAAAATTAATTTATTAAGAAAAATAATTTTTCTCATTAATTATTAAAATAATTAATAACAAAATATTATTGTCATTAATTATTAAAATAATTAATAACAAAATAAACGAATAAACGAAAGATTGATTAAATTATGTACATATAAAAAAAATAATTTGATTTTATTTTAAATTTGATTAGGTCATATATTTAAAAAAAAATATTGTAATAAAATATTGTAATAATATTGTATCTGTTAAAGAAATTTGATTGCTACATGATTGATATTTGATAAGAAGAATTTATGCCGATCTGAAATTTGAACTATTAAAATACGATTTCATAGTTATTATGTAAAATAATTAAAAACTTGCAGAATAATATATGAGATTTTAAAAGACATATTTAAAAGTAAATAAGTATTTTAAAACATTTTTTATTTTAATATTTATTATATATTTATTTAAATTAAATATTTATATTATATTAATATATAACAATTTGATATATTTTTAATATTACTAAAATCTTTATATATTGTATTAAAATTATCTCTAAGAGTATATAATATACTTTTTTGTAATTGTATAATACAATGTAATTAAAAAGTAATTACAATCAGCGAGGCAGATCGCAACGAGATTCAGTACAATCAAAAAACCAAAAGTTTATTTTGTACATCTAGAAATTTTATATTTAGAATGATCGAAGAAAGTAAGGATATTCTTCTAAAAAGTAAACGCTTCTAATTGACTTTAAAAAAAAGAAAAAAGAAGAGGATTTTAAATCTAAAATTTAATATTTTTATTAGTTTCCAAGATATTAATAGTAAAATTTTCGATACAGTACATTGAATTCTTTCTATACCTAAGACGAAATACAATTTTGCAATAACAATCATAGTCATCGAGTCAAATAGTCAATAACTATGTAGTCGTCGAATCAAATAGTCAATAATATAATAACAATAATCTTAGCATTTATAAGATGTATGTAAAATATCGACGATGATTGCACTAGTATAACCAATTGTTTGCCAATGATAGCAAAAATATAACCTAAAACTAATATTTTTCTATCTTCTATATACGACAATAAGTATTCATAGTTTTGAATATTTATTGCATAATAAACATGATATTGCATAATATATGATATATATTTACTGAAATCCAACATTTTTTCAATCACTGAAATTAAAGCAAATCAATATTGCGAATATCTATCCTATCCATCTCTGTAACCTTATCGATAGATTGATTTTAAAACATAATATAGTTTAAAACGAAACGATCGTATTGCAGATAAAAAATATTCTTTGGACGAAATTACAATAACAGTATATATAGAGTCGGTATCGTTATTGTATTATGTCATCGATTATTCATCTTACATTCGATACAATGAGAATTCGTAATATGAAAACAGTTATATTAATAACGTTTATGTAGATAAAATTGTACATAATGTATTGTACGGAGAGTTTTTTTATTATCTATCTCAGAAATTAATAAATAAATACTCAAAAATAAAATTTTAGATTTAAAATCTATTTAGAATTTCTCTTTTTTTTTCTTTAATCTTTTAAATTTCATTTTAATTGGAACTACAACTATTATGATTTTGAAAGAATTTGATTGCATTATGCAGAATTAATATAAAAGTTATAATAATATTGAAAATATATCAAATAATTATTAATATATATTAATAATAATATTAAATTAACATTCTTCAATAATATTGAAAATATATTAAGTAATGATTATTATATATTAATACAATAATATATAAATTCAAATAAAATAAATATATATTTAATATATTTAAATAAAAAATAATTTAAAATATATTATTTATGTTGTCTTTTATTTTTCTCATATATTGCTCTGTAAATTTTTGGATATCTTTTACATAATAATTATGACAAAATAATAATTTTAGATGATTATTATAATGATTATTTTTTTTTTATCAAATATCAATTAACTTCACATCATTTCAAGTCATGTGGCGAAAAAATTTGAAAGAATTCCAATTCATTTTATCTATCATTAATAGTATTTAAAGAAAAGTTTTATCATGCGCTAATATTCGATTGGTAGTTAAAAATTATCCATAAAATCTCCTGAAACTTGATCGAAAGCGATGAGATGAATTTTAAGAAAGTAATCCAAGAATCCGAATGTTTTTCATCATTTACTATTAATATTGCCAATAATGATACATCAAAGAATTTATGTAAAAATAAATAATATGTGTGTTTTACAATTACATTTGGATTTTTTTCAATGTAAATATAATTATATAATATATTTATATAATTATTTCGAAAAAAGTAAAATGATAATTTTCAGAGTTTATAAATATTTATTTATATTACAATAGTTATTTACGTATACAATTTATTTATTTATATCTACGAAATTAATTCATTTTTTTATTCAATATAAAAAATAGAAATTTTTAAATAAAGTTAAATATATAAATCATGTAGAAAATGAAAATAGATAAATAGTCGAATGAAGATATAGAATTCCGGATTGCTGGTAACAAAAGTTTCAGATAAATCAAATCCTAAGTTTTTCTCATATTTTTTTTCTCTTAAATATTATTATTATTATTCAATATAAATATTTATATTGCTTTGTCATTAAACATAAATTTTACATATCATTTCATTTTCTTCATTGTTGATAATATTATCAATACTCATCGAAAATAATTGAAAAAAGATTGAATCCTTAATTGAGACTTCACTTATTTTATTGTTCTGATGTCAAGTCGGATATTATGTAATATTGGGGCACTCAATAATTCTCGTTTATTTGTCTATTTAATTAGATTTACTTGGATACTCAAATATCTCATAATTAGTAGCTTAATATAAAGAATTAAATTTTAATCATTTTTGATATTTCTATAATATTTCTATATTTTTTAAAATATGGCCAAAATCTTATAAGAATTAGGTGGCATAAGGAGGATTATAGTATGATAGTAATTTTTTTATAGATAAAAAGTTATTATAATTTTCAAAGATTTCAATTTTAATTTTTTAATTTTTCAAATTTTTTATAATTGATTTATTGTTTTTTTTGTTAATAAAATAAACAATATTGTTGTTATTGTTTATATTTTTATATAATAAACATTTATATAGTTTTCGATTAAAACGAAATAATACTCATTCACTTGTTGAGAAACGAAAATTTTAATAAATTAGAACATTATAGTTTAAAAAAATAAATATCTTTAATTATTTATGTTTTCAATTTTTTATTAATTTTTTATTAATAAAATACATCTTCTTCATTATTAATTTAATTAGATTTTTCAATTGTTTCGGATAATGCAATTCCAGGCTATCAATATTGCAATTTTCAATTCGATTATTATTAAATTAACAACAATTGCTATATATACAAATGCTAATTTCAAAAATTTTTAAGTTAACATTAAGAGATTTCATTAGATCTTCTGTTTATAGATGAAAGTGCTTATTTTTAATGGTAGTTTTAAAAATTACTATCTAATGTAAAAAAGTGAACTGTCGAATTATTATGCATAAATTTTAATTTAACTGATAAGAAACGACACAAATATAGTGTAAAATATTTCGCAAGTATTTATTTACATTGTGAATTTATATGAGTAACAATGAACGTCAAAATTGTTTTTTCAAATGCCAAAAATCAACTAAAAATCATCATTGAACCAAAATTTCATACTAGTAGTGTGTAAAATTTTTCATTCAAAAAGATGATCTAATTAAAAAAAATTAAAAGAAATTGAACAGATTTTTCCAGATATTTATTTCTATTTAAATCCATATTTGATATTCTTCTGCAAGATGAAATTAAATAGAGTAGTATTCCTTAATTATTATTGGAGTTTATTTTTTTTTTTTATATTAAAGAAGATTTTTTCGAATAGATTTTTTTTTACTACAAAATATTAATATTTTTTACATTATTTTAAATAATTTACACATTATTTTAAATAATTTTAATAATATTAAATAAAATAAAATATTATTAAATATTAAATATATATATTTTTTAATATTAAATGAAATAATTAAATAAAATAAAAGCTATTTTACTTTATTTGTATTTTAATTCGTTTAATACAAACTTCATTTGTTTATAATTTAATAAATAAGCCTCAATCGACATATTTTTATATTAATATATGTTGGTTTTGTTTTCTAGATTCTTGTTAGAATATATTATATATAAGATATTATGATTACATATACATATATAATATATATATAAATGACTATACAATAAATAATTCATAAATTTTTAAAAAACTGAATTTTTTTTAAGTCAATTACAATTAAAAAATTATTAATCTTTACAAAATATTTTTTGTAAAATTTTCATTAAATTTTTTTTATTCGAAAATTTTAATAAGTCAAAATCTCTATAAATTGAAAATTTTATTTAAAATTTCTTTAAAATTTGAATAAGCAGAAAATTTGAATTATATAAAATGATATATTGTATATAAAATGAAATACATAAATACTTTTTAGTATTTAGAGAAAATGCTGAAATAATAATCAAAATAAAATCGGATAATTAATTTCAAAATTAAGAATGGATTTATTTTTTTGTTACATATTTTAATATTTGATAAATTCTAATTCTAATGCACAATGAAACATTTTGTATAGAATTAAAGCAGTTTTGATATTGTAATATATACAATTTGAGAGATACTATCTATTAATTTAGATATTTATGCTTGTTTTAAATATTTTTTTTTCTGCTATGTGTGTATATATATAATATATAATATATACCCGAAATCATGTGATACAATTGAGTGATGATACTATATGCAAAAATAAATGGAAGAAAAAGAAAAATATTTTTTTGTTGAAGACTTTGTTTTTTTTTATTTGTATTTTCTATACACAGTTCATTCTAATCAAGAAATCACTTATATGTGAAAACTTTTCAAACTTAATTTACTTAAAGTCTTAAACAAAAAAATTTTTTTTTTGCAGAATATAGAATCACTGTAGAATATATCACTAGCTGCTTATATCATGATTTCAATTCCTGTATATTATATACATTAATAAAATATTACAGAAATATATTTTTATATGTGATAATTATTACAGGACCTCGTCGCATGAGCGAACGAGATTTACCCTCTAGACTTGGACGCGATACAACTGCACCTCAACAACAAATGCATACTAGCAAATCCGTACCAGCATTACACAGTAAGTAGATAGTTATTATATTATAGAAGAAAGAACAGAAATACATGTAATACATTACACACACATACACACACACCCATTCACCTACCCATACACCCACCCACACACACTCACTCACTCATACACAACCTACCCCCCCCCCCACCCCCCACCACACACACACACAATTATAATTTTACATATATATTATTATATATGTATATCATTTTTTTTATATTTTTTATATTTTTTCGTCTTATTTTAATTTTATGTTTTTTCCATTTTGCATGATAGATATATCATATTTATCATATGTTTTTGATGTTGCTTGAATTTCTTACTATTGAAATTTGATTCTATGGGAATATATACAGTAAATACACGTACAATTAACACATCTTTTAAAACAAAATAGCTTTTTAAAATTGGATCAAATCATTTAAATTCATTTTGAGAAATTAGAGAAAACTAAACTTTATTAAACTTTTTCATTTGAGCGTTTAATGAAAATTTAAAAAAATATGTATTTTATTAGCCTTATGTCAATTAAATGAGTGAAGTATGCCAATACTTTTTTAAAAATAATTCTAAATTAATATTATATGTTTATATAAAACAGATGTAGGAACAGATGGAAAACAACAGCATGAAGTATTCAATCCTGGTTATAGTAGAGCATCTTCAAGTAATAGCGTTACACCACCAGTTACGCAGCCACCTCCACCAATGGCCACAATCAACAGTGCGACATCATTACGTTCTCGGTAAATCTTTTATTTTAAAATTTACATCATTAATTTTTAATTTTTTTTTATCTTTTTATTTTTAAATGATTTAATTTGTTTATATTGATTTTTTTATATTTCTATTTCTTTTTTATATTATATCTTTTTTAATATTATATTATTATATTTCTTAATATAGTTCGAGTCATAACTTGCATGATTCAACAAGAATCGGAACTTTATCATCGAATGGTCTTGTAACTAGACAACAATCGTCACCAAATTTGAATCCTGATACATCGAGTCACAATGATACAAATGTGAATAGTGGAACAAATTCAAACATTCTTCAAGGTAATGAAGCTGAAAGATTTTATCAAAACTTGAGTATCTATCGTAATCAAGATGCAACAAAACAGCATAATCCATCTCAACATTTAGATGATAGGTAAGAAACTTCTATTTTCTTTAATAACTTTTTTTTTTGTTCCTTTTTTTTCTTTCTATCTATTCTTCTTTTTTTCTATTTTTTTCTTTATTTTGTAAATTATTTACAATAAAAGTGACTTTACTAATTTTGATGACTCTCAAGATATGTAAGGTGAATTTTTTTGAACTTTACGATCATTATTGATTTGTATGAATTTGATAAATTTTAAAAATATTATTTTGCGCAAGATTTTCTTATACATGTAAATAGTCTAAATATTATAATATAGATTCCAAGATATTCATAAAAAACTTTTTGATAGTATCCAATTCTCTACATGTATTTTTGTATATTCATATTTGTAACAATGCGTGTAGGAATATGCAACATTTCGAAGAATGCTCAAATTTATTATAAATAAATACTTAATAATATTGTAATAATAAATGTTAATAATATTAATTCATTCGTCACATTGTACTTATATAAATAATCAAAAAATGATAATTGTATATTGTCGCATGCATTTTTACAAATATATATGAATTTTTGAATGAAAAATTTGATATATAATACTGAAAGATTTTTGTGAATAAATCAAAAATTAAAGTTGATTGCTAATTACATATATATGAAAAGACTTAATATCTTTTTCAAAATATCTTTTTCAATATTATTTTTCAAGATTATTAATTGATACGAGAAAGAAATTAATCAATAGATTCACTAAATCTTCTGTTAGTTAATTCGAAGAATATCTTTACAACATATTATCTATGTCAAATTCAAACTCCTTGAGATTGACTCCATGACATTCATCTATGATATTAAACATATTTTATCTTAAAGTTGGTGATAAAAAAAATTATTCAATGTTGTATTTTAAAAATATATTTATTCAAGATTATTAAAATTGATGAAGTTGCCCTTGTTTTTTGTTATATATTTTTTTTGTTTTATTATTCATATAAATTTTTATTTATTTTTTAATTCTAATTTTATCTAATTATTGAATTTAAAAATTAATTAATTAATTAATTTTGTAACGACATATATTATTACACATATTATTTGTGATTATTCTTTTTTTTCTTCGAATTTATAGAACTCCTCTTCAATTACAAAAGAACTTCAAAGGTTCGCAAAATTCTTTAAATCGTCCGGGAGTGTTTGATATGAATCAAACCAGAGATCGTCCAATATCTTCATATGTACCTCAATCTCAACAACAATCTTATATTGACAATACTGGTCAATCGCAACAACAAGCTTGCACAGCACCTCCAAGATCTCAATCATCTCGAGATATAATACGTCAAGAAGCGAAACTTCAAGAAATGCAAGAAGAAGTTAGAAGACGCGAGTTACGAGGTGGCATTCCAGTTCCATTGAATCAATACCGACCACCTACTTACAATTTAAAAACAATACATCTGTTCAATCATCGATCAGTTCTGTTATTCGACCAACAAAACCTATTGGTTCACAACCAAATTTGGGATCAAGTCCACCAATAACAATATCCACATCATCAGTTTCAACATCCAGACAAACCGGTCCTTCGAGTTATAGTTATTTGGATGCACAATATGGTTCATACATGGTTCAATATGGAAAATCTTCGCATATTCATCAACATCAACATCAATCTCAACCTCAATCTCAACATCAACATCCACATCAACATCAGCTACAGCTTCAGCATCAATATCAACATCAGCATCAACACCAACATCAACATCAACATAACAATATGCAAAATTTTGGACATATGCAATATGGACATGTTGGTATGATATCATCAAAAGGAAAAAATGATTTAACTCGTATGCAATCAAATGGGACATTACACGATTATGGAAGAGATCAAAATATTCGCGACATTGGAAAATTATATACAGACCAGAATCAACATGTTGCTGGATCGCAGTATTGTTTAAATAGTAATCCAGAGATACAAAATGAACTCTATAATGATGAAAATGTAATAAATAGAATGCAAACTGCACCGGAAGGAACTTCAATTTCAAATGAAATTCCTATACGACCTGTTTTACCAGAAGAAGGATTTACCGAAAGTTCTCCACCTCCACCGCCAAGTACTTCGACTCATCCTCTTTATAATAACAATCGGATTCAAGGTAATGAAGTGATAATAGTGATAAAAAAGTAAATTAAAAAATAAAAAATATTATTATTTTTTAGATATACTGCAAGTATGCAAGATCCTCCACGTGGAGGATATTATCCAGCAAATACAACAGGTACTACATTACAGCCACGTCAATATCAATACAGTGCTTCGAATCCATGGCAACGAGAAGAGAAAGAGAGAGTAAGTGCAAAATAAAATTATTTTTCATATACAATAACATTTTTCATATTTTTTTTGAACTGAAATTATTTTTATTATTTATTATAATTGTTGTTTGTATTGTTTTCATTATTTTTTTTCTTCTTTTTCATCTTTATTTTTTTATCATCATCATTATTATTATTATCATCATTTAGGAACAGGCACGTAGAAGAGAAGCTGCAAGACAATGGCGAGATCAACAAATAGCGGAATTGAGTGCATTATCTCATAGAACATCGCAGCAAGAGGAACAATTGCGAGCTCTTCAATTGGAAAGAGATTTTCAAAAAAGAGCCGAAGAAATAGCCAATCAACAAGATGATGATGAAGAAAGTAATGATTTAGATACGGAAAATATAAGAGTTCAGCAATCTTTGTTTCAAACAACAATGATGCAAGATCGAAATAATTCATTAGAACAACATCATTCCAATTTATCGAGGACTAATGTAACAAACCAATCCTCTAAAGGAAGTCATTTTTCTCGATCTCTCGGTGGATCTCCAATGCATTCCATGAATGTTGTAACTACACACGGAAATAATACTCTTCAACAATGTTCACAAAATATTACAACTACTTGTTTGCAGCAACAACAGCAACAACAGCAACAACAAGATTCTGGTTCGCTTTTATCTTCAGATTTTCAGCATCAACATACTAATCAAATGCAAAACAACATGGGACAAATTTCAATGCCATCTTTAATTCATTTGACTTCTTCTCAAAAATCTCTTGGTTTGTCTCAATCCAATGAAGAAAAAGAAATGCACCGTAGACATGAGGAGATTAAACGAAAACAAATAGATTTTGATGATACTCAATTGAAAAAAGAGGAAGAAACTAATAAACAACAACAAATGTATCAACAGCAATATCATTCTCAACAATCGCAATCCCATCTTAAAACTCAACAATTATTGCATTCTAATATGTTGCGATTGGATAGTTTAATTATTAATGGATCAAACGCGTCTCGTAAGTATTTTTTTTTACTAAATCTAATAAATCAATTTAAAAAAATAATGATATTTTGTGTATATTTTTTTTTTAGCTACACAAAATGGTGTCAATGATGCGCCTCTGCCTCCAGAACGAGGTTCTAGTTTTGCGGTTATGTCGCAGCAAAGTACGCTCAGATCAAATAATGCAAACATATCAAATATAATATTAGCATCTCAACCGCAAGCAACATCCGTTAAAAGAGTCTCATTTCATGATTCAAATGCGAATGTAGAATCTATACGAAATATCTCATCTGGAAATTTGAGCACGAATCAAACTATGACTATGGATGCCATTACAGAAGATCCAAATGTAAGATAGATAATACTTATATATTTATATTGTTTTTGAAATAATATATAGATTCACATATTTTTAATTACATAAAAAAATATGTTACACAAATATATTGTAAAAAAAACTTGGTTAATTGAACTTGGTTAACTTTCAAATTGAATTTATAACTTTATAATACATTATTAATATATAAAATATATATTATTAATATATTAATATATATAATATTATTATATATATTATTAATATATATAATATTAAGATTAAAATATAAAAAGGAAGTCACATAAAGTTAAAACTACTGCAGATATTACGATTTTTTTTTAAATTAAATGTTTTAAGGAATCAATTATTTAGATTAGATATAGATAAGAATTTTTTAGAGATGCTCATTGGAATTAAAGCTCATTCTTTTTAAATAAAATTGACATATTGGTCACTTAATATTTACGTAGCTATTATGAAATTTAATAATATTTATTTAAGGCATTTCTTTTTTATTGTACATAATTAAAAATTATAGCTAAAAAAAAATATGATTCAATATAGAAAAAGAATTAAAAATATTAAAAAAAAACATATTATAGTTGAATAATATGAAAGTTATTTGATTACATATTAAAAATATTGCCCATTTATTTTTAAACATATATTAATGTTATTATCAAGATTTGTCAATTTTGCTAGAAGAATATGGAATATAGCAAAGAAGAATATAAAGATGAAAGTATATACTACTACAAGTTTGAATGATATTGATATATGTTTGATATAATATTGCAATAATATATTTTTATAAGATATTAGTTGTATGAATAACCATAAATATTAAACAAACATTTAATGAAATCATTACAAATCTCATAATTATTATTTAAAATAGAAAAAAAATGTTTCTAATAAGTTATTTGATTTGACAATAGAAATAAATATCAAAAAGTTAATAAATTATTTCATTTAAAAAAAATGAAGAGAGATCTTTAGATTCTAAGAAGCATCTTTTAAAAAATATTTTACTATTAATTAAAATAATGCCTTTGAATTATTTAATAAAATAATATATGTGATACTTTTAAAAAAATACTTTATTAACATTTTATGTAATTTGCAACATATTATTAATAATGCATGAAATCAATTTAACAAATTTTTAATGTTAATTTCATCGTATAGATGAAAAATTTATTGACATTTTGATATAATTTTAAATCTTTTGTCTTGGAATATAGTTACTTTTGAATGAACTCTATATTGGAATGTTTTATTCTATATATAATTAATACATGATATAATAATATTGTCCGTGTAGAGATTGTAGAGATGCAGTATATGATTTTCTATTCTATATAATTTTTGTTGTTATATTGTTATATTTAATTAATCAATAACATATATTTTAATATGCAATTAGCTATTATGCTTATTATAGAAATAATTTTATAGATTATTTTGCATATAATTTATTGATGTTTATTAGTTTTATTTTTCCTTATTATCCATAAAGTTTTAGATATATTTTGAAATATTAAATTTCCTCTTTATTATGTATAGTTTAGTTTATTTTATAAATATCTTCAATATTTATAATGGTTCATTTAATAATTTTAAATGTACATTAAATATAGAATTATATAGATATTGATTTGGAATTATTTTATTGAAATTTTAAATATTTTTATATATCATATTATTCCATCTATGAATTTGTTATTCATATTTTTTATTATTTATTTATTATTTATTACTTTGAGTTTATTTTCCTTTCGATTTTTTAATATTTTAATTTTTTTATTTCAAAATCCAATAGATATTTTATTAATACTATTATTTTTAATTAATTATTTTATTTGTGTGAGTGTTAAGTTTCAAAGTTTAATATAAATTAGATGATTTATGATATATCATATTTTTTTTCTATTTTGTATATATAATAATATATATAAAAACTATATTTTTTTTATTAAGAAATTTTTAAACTGAGTTTAAGCATATGCAAAATCAATGAATCACTTTGGAAGTCTTTTTATAGTTAAATTTTGTTGATATTTGAATCCATATTTTTTGTTTTAAGTTACATGATTGTTCTCTATTTCTTCATTATAGGATATAATTATAATTTGATTGAAGAATTTTATAATCATATTTGAAACTTTCTATATTTATAATAATAATATTTTTATTATTTGTTTTAATTAGTTATATGAAATAGAATCAAAAACTTTTTTGTAGTTATATTTATATTTTTGTTGTAATTGTTATAAATTTTTTGTAGAGTTATATATATAATAATATAGACATTTCTTTTATTATTTTATTTATTTCATATATTGTTCTTTATATTCTTAACTCTTTTTTTTTATAATTTTTTATTCCTCTGTCATTATCTTATGTGTATATATATATATATGTGCCATTGATAATTAATAAGATTATATTTTTATATATTATTTATAGACAAGTGATAGGACAATGATTTGAAGGTATTTTAGGTATTTTGATTTTTTGGTTTCATATGTTATATTTTTCTTTATCATATTACTATTTTTCTGATAATGAGATCATTTATTATTTATTTGAATAATTATATTTTATATTATTTTATATTGTTAATGTTTAGTCTTTAATTTATATATTCATGACATTATTTTTTTAAATTCTGTTTATTATAAAATTATAATATTTTGCACACTGTTTTTTTTTTCCATCATTGTATATAGCTAGTTTATTCCATTTTATGTTATTTTAGGAAATCACAATTTTATTCTCATATATCGATTATTTTCTCTGTTACATAATATTTTTATAGAATTTTTTTTCATTGTTTCAGAATATATCATTTTCTTTTCTTCTTTCTTTTGCTTCCTTATATCATTTCATTTTTATATTGTAGATAGTTGATTTCTATTTTGAATTGTATAGAATGTAATAGAATTTTCAGTGTATGTTTTTATATAACAATATTATATGTATTTTTATTTTCTTTTTCAATCAATCAGATTATTTTCATTGTGTACTATGTTTTCTTATATTTTTTATCTATTTATCTATTTGCCATTTTAGAATTCTGAATTTATTGTTTTTCATTTCATAAAATTTTGTTTATATTGCATATAACTCTTCTATAGTATGGATGTGATTGCTTGTTATGAAATTATTAATATATTTTATTTTTGTGTGCACATTATTAAGTTGAGAAATTTTAATTTTTCTTTTAGATTTATTTTTTTTTTATTCTACATTTCAGTGATTTACTTTATTAATTTATTTTCTATTGTTTTATAGATTTATATTTTTATTTGCTTGTGATACCAATGATAAAGATATTTAATTTTTTGGCATTGATCTAAATAGTATGATTAAAAGAATTAACAAATAATGTTGAAATTGAGTTATCAAACATGTGTGATATAATAGTGTATATTGATGATGATATTTGAGTTGTATTTTTTTTATATTTAATATTGTACTTGTTTGTATGTATAATATTCTTGCTTATTTTTTTTTTTTTTGATTGTTTTAAATTGATATGAAGAAAGTTTATTATTTATTATTATAATTCTTTGATCTATTATTTTTTATTCTGTAATATATATCACATGAATATTTTTTTTAGAGAAAAACATATATTTGTAATTGATATTTTGTTTTATTTATTTTCGATTTATTTGTTATAAAGTAGTAATCTATGATGTATTGATTCATTTTTTATATCATGCATTTGTTTTATTGCAAGAAAAATTTATATTTATAATATAATATATATATATTTTTATTAGTTGATTATATAGTTAATGATATATAATTTTTATTATATGGTGCCTATATACATTTGTATACTAAATGTAATTTGTTTCAGTAATAATATTTTTAATCTTATTAATTTGCAACCTCTTGTTATATTATTTTTTTTATGATAATATTTTCTGCACAAATTTTTTTTTTTATTATATATAATATATATATAAAATATTTTCTACATAAATTTTTCTTTTTTTTATTATATATATATATATAATATGAGATATGATCAAACAGTTTGAAAACTGTTATCATAAATTGTTATTTCAAGATGTAAAATTTACATTAATTCTCCTTGAAAATAGACTTCTTTTATAATTGCATATTATTGGAATTCTTTTTTAAAAACACTTATTAATTATTTGAATCGATATTTTATATGTAATTTTGCAATGTTTTTTTTAATTTAATGATTATTTGAAATATATCACATTTTGAAATATTTCATTTTAATGTTTGAAAAAAATAAAAAAAAAAGTCAACTGGTAATAAATCTAAAGAATAAACAATTGCACAAATAACAAATTTTATATTAAGAATTTTTAAATTAACAATACACATACATTATCGTGATACAACAATTACGTGAAAAAACGAAAGAAAATAATAAAATAAAAGTTTTAAAAATTATTTTAAAATCGGCTTATAAAAATATGTTTGCAAATTAGACAAAACGCTACTGATAATATATATTTGTAGAAGCAGTTTTATTTTAAATTTCATCATAAATTATATTATGTCTTGAAATAAATTTTTGAAAAGTTTCTGAATTTTTTGATTCATATTTTATATATAACATACATATAATGTTATTATGTTATGTATTATACATATATTTTTCTAAATTTTTTTTTGTTTAACTATTATATTATTTTGTTGCGAATCTTTTTTTTCTGAAACAATTGTCTCATTTTTTATTTGTAGAAAATTAAAAGATTTATATCAAGAACGATATAAACTTATTAATTTTCCTTTTTTTTTCTAGAAGAACAACAAAAATTTTTAAATTTTTAATTCCAAAATTTTTCTTGTAAATTTTCTTAATAAATTAAATTTTTTCTTACCAAAATATTAATTTACGTTATTATATAAATGCTATATAATTATTATTTATAATTATTGTATTATTGCAAAAAAGCTATTCCTAATCAAATCATAAAATTGTGGTAGATTTTATGATTGAAAGTAAAAAATTTTATTATGAATCATTTAATTGC